CTAAGAAGCTAACTCAGTCAAGAAAACCCTTCAACAGTCGGACCCAGCATATATTTGGATGCTGAGAAGACTGCCTCTTGGATGTGACTGGCATCAGTGGGAGGAACAAAACTGTACTGTACTGTACTATTCAAGATTTTTAGTTTCACAGGTACAATATATATTATGGTACAAATACACACACACACTATTACTATACATAACACATGCGATCAAAATATATACATGCACCTATCACACCAATGCCTCAGCTTCTATCAGTCTATTGCTTCCAACTGTTCTAGATGAGGCAAAATGTTGAATGTTGCTCCCCCATCAACAAGGTACTGTAGATATACACACAATTTAAAATTACAAAACACAGTAAATGCAAATAAATGACACATACCAGAGATTTCTTAAATTGAAATGTTTATTTTACACAAGTTGTCATCTTTACAAATAGACTTTTCCAATTCTAAAATACCACTGAAATGTATTAGTTAATACTAAATTATGTATGGCTGTAGTTCACAATCATATTTCAATATCTAACTACTTCTAGCTATTAAAATCATATAAGGGACAGACAAAATATACAGTATGGTTTAGTTCTATGCTCAGTAATAGTAGTGAAAGTTCGAGTTCGTATATAGAACTCTATTTAGGAACTCTAGTGAAAGTATTATCAGGGCACCCTCTACAGCATGGTACAACATATACAGTATTAAAAACACACAGGTATACAATTGCTGACCTGAAAATGTTCCACAGTAAATCATAAAATAGTATATCAAAATATATCTACAGGCTTGGACACAGACTATTACGAAGTGAAAATTAATCTCTACATATTATTTATAGAATTTATTCACAGTTTCCCTGTATTTTTCAGGATATATGCAATCCCTTTGACTGTCTTTATATTACTAGTTAACAAAAATATAGGCCAGGACAAATTTCTATTAATAAAAACTTATATTTATAGTTTATATTTAAACTTGACCAGCTTTAACCATTTTATTCACAGTTTACCTATATTTTTTTATATGCAACCCATTCAACTGACTCTTTATATTACTTTTAGGCAACTATAATAATTTAAGTTACTGTAATGATTATTTGCAAAGTAATTACTCCATCCATTCAAATAAAATGCAAAACTTCAAAGTAGCAGCGCAGAGTAGTAAACAGAAAATTCATAGGCTATTCAAGGCCCACTATACCAGCAGAGGTGTTATCGTCACACTCTTTGACTTTCTGGGCCTAGCATGCTCACACTTGCAACATTTGTTAATTCTTAATATATATAACAATGTCATATGTGAATTATTTCATGTTGCTTTCATATTTTTGGCACATTTCCTTAGAAACAAAAAAGAGTGTTTAATGGTTGAGATATTACAGTCAAAAATTCGTTTCGCACTGAACAAGCTTCCACATCTGGACTGCCCCTGTTCCTACTATAACCTACAGTAGACCAATAAACATGAGGACAAACATGGAAAAAGCAATGAGAATTAAAATCAAAATAGTATTAAACCAAATCTTAATTCTGAGTGGATGTTACTGCCCTAAATCAAATACAGTACAGGCATACAATAACATCCAATCAGAATAAAGAATTAAGACTAGTGTAGCAAGAGCATGCCGCCTTACAACAAAACTGGATCGTCTTTTAAGACTTTCCATGTTTACCCTCCACAGCTATCATCATCAAGGGATCTGATATCGGCTGATTCTGGGCTAAATATTGTTAAGCCAGTATCTGTGCTTGGAGCTGCTGCAGCTGTTGTGGCAGGAAAAATTGTCTTGCTGAGAGGTCATTACCCTCCAAAGCAAGCATGTTGTCTTCCAATACTATATTCATCCTACCACATTCTTCTATTGTTTCATTAACAATAAAGAGAATAATCACTCCATCTGAAAAGTTTTATCATCATCATCATCATCATCATCATCATCATAAGGCTGAATAATTACCCCGATTAACTCTGCAAGTGATTTACCATCAATACATGAAAGGTCATTGCCCTTTAGTCCAAGCATGTTGTTTTTCAATACTATATTCATCCTACCACATTCCTCCATCATTTCATTAACAATAATGCCTGATAAACTGCAATAACTCATGTCAATATGGCTCGTGTCTGGGGAAATCTTAATAAGGCAAGCTAATGTTCTACCACTGACTGAAGATAGGTTAATCTTACTCAAATCTATCCTTTTCCAATTCAGTCTCAGTCTCATATTTACACCTGATTCAACCAGCCTTTGTAGGTTATCAGCTGAAAGAGAATAATCACTCCATCTGAAAGTTTTAAACTGAGCACCATAATGCTTATCATAAGCAGGAAGAATTACTCTGCCTAACTCTACAAGTGATTTACCATCAATATCTAAAGGTCATTGCCCTTTAGTCCAAGCATGTTGTCTTCCAATACTATATTCATCCTACCACATTCCTCCATCATTTCATTACCAATAATGCCTGATAAACAGCAATAACTCATGTCAATATGGCTCAGGTATGGAGAAATCTTAAAAAGGCAAGCTAATGTTCTACCACTGACTGAAGATAGGTTAATCTTACTCAAATCTATCCTTTTCCAATTCAGTCTCAGTCTCGTATTTACAAGTGATTCAACCAGACTTTGTAGGTTATCAGCTGAAAGAGAATAATCACTCCATCTGAAAGGTTCATAATTATCATCTTCATCATCATCATCATCATCATCATCATCATAAGGCTGAATAATTACCCTGATTAACTCTGCAAGTGATTCACCATCAATACATGAAAGGTCATTGCCCTTTAGTCTAAGCATGTTGTCTTCCAATACTATATTCATCCTACCACATTCCTCCATCATTTCACTAACAATAATGCCTGATAAACTGCAATAACTCATGTCAATATGGCTCATGATTGGGAAAATCTTAATAAGGCAAGCTAATGTTCTACCACTGACTGAAGATAGGTTAATCTTACTCAAATCTATCCATTTTCCATTCAGTCTCATATCTACACCTGATTCAACCAGCCTTTGTAGGTTATCAGCTGAAAGAGAATAATCCCTCCATGTGAAAAGTCCAATAGCACCATAATGCTTATCATGAGGATGAATTACTCTGACTAACTCTGCAAGTGATTTACCATCAATATCTGAAAGGTCATTGCCCTTTAGTTCAAGCATGTCGTCTTTCAATACTATATTCATCCTACCACATTCCTCCATCATTTCATTAACAATAATGCCTGATAAACTGCAATAACTCATGTCAATATGGCTCGTGTCTGGGGAAATCTTAATAAGGCAAGCTAATGTTCTACCACTGACTGAAGATAGGTTAATCTTACTCAAATCTATCCTTTTCCAATTCAGTCTCAGTCTCATATTTACACCTGATTCAACCAGCCTTTGTAGGTTATAACCTGAAAGAGAATAATCACTCCATCTGAAAGTTTTAAACTGAGCACCATAATGCTTATCATAAGCAGGAAGAATTACTCTGCCTAACTCTGCAAGTGATTTACCATCAATATCTAAAGGTCATTGCCCTTTAGTCCAAGCATGTTGTCTTTCAATACTATATTCATCCTACCACATTCCTCCATCATTTCATTACCAATAATGCCTGATAAACAGCAATAACTCATGTCAATATGGCTCAGGTATGGAGAAATCTTAAAAAGGCAAGCTAATGTTCTACCACTGACTGAAGATAGGTTAATCTTACTCAAATCTATGCTTTTCCAATTCAGTCTCAGTCTCATATTTACACCTGATTCAACCAGCCTTTGTAGGTTATCAGCTGAAAGAGAATAATCACTCCATCTGAAAGTTTTAAACTGAGCACCATAATGCTTATCATAAGGAGGATGAATTACTCTGACTAACTCTACAATTGATTTACCATCAATATCTGAAAGGTCATTGCCCTTTAGTCCAAGCATGTTGTCTTCCAATACTATATTCATCCTACCACATTCCTCCATCATTTCATTAACAGTAATGCCTGATAAACTGCAATAACTCATGTCAATATGGCTCGTGTCTGGGGAAATCTTAAAAAGGCAAGCTAATGTTCTACCACTGACTGAAGATAGGTTAATCTTACTCAAATCTATGCTTTTCCAATTCAGTCTCATATTTACACCTGATTCAACCAGCCTTTGTAGGTTATCAGCTGAAAGAGAATAATCACTCCATCTGAAAGTTTGAGCACCATAATGCTTATCATAAGGAGGATGAATTACTCTGACTAACTCTACAATTGATTTACCATCAATATCTGAAAGGTCAATGCCCTTTAGTCCAAGCATGTTGTCTTCCAATACTATATTCATCCTACCACATTCCTCCATCATTTCATTAACAATACTGCTTGATAAACTGCAAAAACTCATGTCAATATGGCTCGTGTCTGGGGAAATCTTAAAAAGGCAAGCTAATGTTCTACCACTGACTGAAGATAGGTCAATCTTACTCAAATCTATCCTTTTCCAATTCAGTCTCAGTCTCATATTTACACCTGATTCAACCAGCCTTTGTAGGTTATCAGCTGAAAGAGAATAATCACTCCATCTGAAAGGTTCAATAACATAATAAGGCATATTATGAGGATGAATTACTCTGCCTACCTCTACAAGTGATTTACCATCAATATCTGAAAGGTCATTGCCCTTTAGTTCAAGCATTTTGTCTTTCAACACTATATTCATCCTATCACATTCCTCCATCATTTCATTAACAATAATGCCTGATAAACTGCAAAAACTCATGTTAATATGTCTCGTGTATGGGGAAATCTTAATAAGGCAAGCTAATGTTCTACCACTGACTGAAGATAGGTTAATCTTGCTCAAATCTATCCATTTCCAATTCAGTCTCATATTTACATCTGATTCAACCAGCTTTGTTAGGTTATCAGCTGTAAGAGAATATTTACTCCAAATGAAAGAATAATCATCAGAATAACAATTATCATAAAAATCATCTTCAGAATAATCATCATTATCATAACAATCACCTACAGAATAATAATCATTACCATAATCAGTATATTGACTCAGATATATGCTCTGACTAACTACCCATATAAATGTTGCAAGTGATTCACTATCAATATCTGAAAGGTTTAACTTTTGCCTCAATAGACGTCTGCTAAATACTACATTCCTCCTACGACAATATTTAATCCTTTTAATAATGCTGCCTGATAGTTTACCACTGGCTACCTTTAAATATTGCAGTTTAGGAGCCACTTCAAACAGTTTTTCTAGTAAACCGCCATCAGTATTCTGTAGATGGTTAATAGTAAGTTTGGTTAATTTCAACTTAGTGTGAGTTTTGTGTAACTCATTCATAGCTTCACTGAGTACAGAAGCTTGACAATATGTTATGCAAGATAGGTTTCTTGCATGTTCTAAGAAATGACTTACAAAAAAAGAACTAACTTTAAGGGTAAACCTGAAGTTCATTACCATTTGGTTATATGTCATATCTATATTTTTCATTGCAGCTGAAAGAATTTTGATTCTTTTTTCTCCCCAATTTGAAATATATTTAAAAAAATGTTTTGTTAGCCAAGCTCCTTGTGCTACAACTGAGCTGTGTACAAAATCCCTGCATGAAATTCTTAAAGACTCTTCACTAGATGTATCTATCATAGAGACTGGTGCCTTTTTAAGCTCGATTTCATGTGTTTCAATGTAACACATAAGTTTGAATAAATGCATATTTTTGATGTCATCGTTATTAAGAATTCTTTTGAATGACTGACATATTTGCTCACAGCATGCTCTCATTTCACTGTTGTTATCCAATTCCTGTAGTACATGGTGTTCATGTTCATCTTTCACATGTCTAAAACATTGTGCTATTGAGCACAAATTTGAGGCCCTCTTTATGAACCAATGTTTTAGCAATTTACCAGCTTTAGCACCAAGAAATCCTACTGTGAACACTCTTGTCATATGTAGATATTCATTAGACCTTATCACCTCGTACTCCTCTGTTGTCAAATGATCTTCCTGAGTTTGACTAGCCAAGTAAAACCCTGCTAATGCCTCTGAAATTAACTTGTGTGGGGGTGTGTACATCTCACTTGTATCACCTGGATCAACAGGGGTATCTTCATAAACAAATCCAAGTTTCAGTGCTAAATCTACTAGTTTTTCACTATCTGCCATCTCTAACAAATACTGTTTGTCAATAGATAGTGCATTTTTCTTTAGTCCTTTATACATACATTTTCCTAAAACTAAAATGGCAGATTTAAATTGATCTGGAATTTTGTCAAACTTATGAATTGCAGTTTCATTGCTAGTCCTGTTTAAAGTACAAAGAATGATGTCCTTGAAAAGATCTGACATGTATGAGGGAAGACTAGATTTTTGTTTCCATATGGTACAAATTTTCAGCAGTAACAGTGGAGATGAGCACAATTCAAATACTCTGAATCAAGTTTAAACTCTTTTATTAGCGATTCCCCATATTTGGTTGCACCAATTGAATGAAAATGTTTTTGAATATATTTTTTTATGTTTCTTGGACTGAAACCCTTTACTTCAATGTGTACATCACAGCAATTAATCAAATCATATGTGTTGTCAGGTCGAGATGTTATCACCACAGTGCTTTTTTGCAATTCACTTCCTTTAAATAGATCTAATGGGTCTTTAGTATTTGTTTCTAACTCATCATATCCATCTAAAAAAATTACTACTTCTTTGTCATGTTTCACCAAGAACTTTTCAACTGAATCAGGACCATTCAAATCATTCTTTTTAATTATTGCATTTGAATCAATTTTTTCCATAATTATGTCTAAGAACTTTACACATTCTTTAATTTCCCTGATATTCATCAGAAATAGTAATTTATCAGCAAAGACATGTTTATCATCAGTAGCCCATTGATAAGCAATATATTTAAGGAGAGTAGTCTTGCCCATTCCTCCCTTCCCTGTTATTAATACCTTACATGCATCTGTTGATTTAATAAGACCTAATACCTCTGTTAATGATGCAGGTTTACCTGCCTGTACTATACTTGTTGACTTGACTTGTTCTTGTTCTATTTGTTGTTCTTCATCACTTGTATACTCTTCATTTGTATATTCTCCATCTGTATACTCTTTTTCTTTTTCTTTGACTTGTTCTCTTTTGTCTTTTCTTGTTGACTGAAGTAAGATGAGTTCAGTAAATGTGTCTGCAATATCTACGATATGACTTTTATGCCAGATTGATGGTGTCACTCTATTCAAATCCTTATATGTTTGTTTTTGCATTGTTATCAGGGAATCTTTGATAATTCTGTCTGGAATAGAGAATCAAACAACAGTAATATAATTCTGCTATTACTTATAAAGAGATATTTTTGAATTTGAGAAGTATTTATTTTCATATTATACATTTATGCTCACATTAGAATTGTATAGTCATTTAGCTATTTGACACTACTGAATAATCATTAACATATTTTTATCTCACTATTAGTAGAGTAGTATTATATTTCATTTACATGTATTTTATATTTAAAAAAATATTTTATTGACTAATCCATTTTCAGTTCATTATACTCATCATTTCATTTCTATTATTAGATTTACATACCAATAGATCTAAATCCACATCCACAAAATTTGCAATTTCTCCCTGTAGAGTCAACGTATCAGCATCCTCAACCATTAGTTTTTGGGTACCGGGAATTATTGCTTGTGTGTGAACTGACTGGAATTTTACTACAACTCCAGGTTATATATTTTCTGATCATAGCAGCTACAGTAACATTAACAAAATTTCAACAATGCATATTTATCATAGTTCACAATGAAGCATATTCCCTGCAAATACCATAGTTACTACTATTATTTTCTTTTATTGAATTCTGTAACAAAGAATGAATAAATCTCTTTTTATATCCATACCTTCTTGCTTGCTTGGCAAATCTAAGGGCTTCGTTGATGATTGTAATCCAAATGCATTACCTGTGTAGAAAGTCAAACATTAAATCAAAATTATTCAATCTTCTGTACAACAAAAAAAACCAAATTTGTTATTGTATGAAACCAACTACAGATATTTAATAAAGTATTTACATTTATAACACAGAAGATCTACTTTTTAATTAGTACTGCTTTTGACATCAGGGCTGCAAAGCTTGTTGTCTATGTATATTTTAGTTTTGTTATGATGTATTTGTACTATATAGTATATGTCACTGTAATGCTATTAAATGGTATATTGAATATATTACACACCTTCATCTGACCTTGATCTTCTTGGTTGTTCTGATTTTCCTGCCTTGTCTGCAAAGAAACCGTTGGATACTATTATGAGCAAAACAATAGTGTGAAATATAGTAATGTCAAGTTTATTGAGTACATAGAATCAATAGTTTGAATAGTAGATACGTGTTAAATAATTTAAGGACTAAAAATTGAAGGGTGTAGAGAATACTGTTAATATCATTAATCAAATATTAATATAAATAATTGCAGCTTTATTTTAAAATCAAAAAAGTTTGCATCAATATATTAGTTTTCACAAGGCCATCTTCACTTACCAAAATACAAATAATAAGAAAATGTTTTCATATGCTTTGTATTTTGGTATGTAAAATGAATATCCCTGTCCTCAAAGATCTAGCAGTAGATTTCAACCAGTCACCAAGCAAAGCCCATTTGAAGAGCAATGACATGCTTGTGTACATTTGTTACGTTGGTGTGGCTACTTATCATTATAATGTCACAAATGGAGCAAAATTTCAGTCAGGAGAAACTTTCAACATTCATTCCACCTTCAAAAAGACAGGTCTCAATAAGTTATGGAATCTGTCTAAAAGGACGAATAAATGTATGTTTCTCATGATCATTGGGCGTATTCGACTGGTTAATTTCGTTGACTATGAATTTTCGTTGAGTATTATTTTCATTCGACTGGTTCATAAAACAGTCTTCATTGACAACGAAAATTAACGTAACCAGAGTGCGTTAATGTGTGTTAAGTTATACATGTAACCAAAACAAACATGGCTGATTGGTCAGTTTAGAAACAACATTTGCATTATTATAATTTAGATTAAATTTCAGAAAATAAAAATTATAATATTTACTCACATTGAAGTTAAAAAATAATTGTAGCCTAACAGAATTCAAAAACTGGATGAAAACATTTCTTTTACGAAAAATACTGCCATAAGCCAAAGCAATTTTGATTATGCAGCTTGTATCGCGGTAACTATGCAGCCATTTTGTTTCTAATTGACTGGTCATCTTCGTTAAGTAGGATTTTACCACTGCGAAGGTGGGCATGGTTTAACAAAGAACGACCAATCAAATACGGCCATTCTCTTGTTCTGAAATGGAATATTATGTAACTGAGTGCTAAAATAAGTTCTAAAATTATTTAAAATAGGTAAACTTCTTCTTTA